ACTTAGTACATGTTAGACGTTGGTAGATATGGATTTAGTACCTGTTAGAAATTGGTAGCTATAGACTTAGTACCTATTAGTTAGACGCTGGTAGCTATGGATTTAATACCTGTAGGAATTGGTAGCTATGGACTTAGTACCTGTTGAACGCTGGTAGCTATGGATTTAGTACCCGATGAGTAGGATGTAGCAGCTATGGAATTAGTGCTTTACGAACTAATATCGGCAGCTATGGATTTAGTGCCAGTCCTATAACCCTGGAAGTAAGGGACTTCGGAATAAACAAATGCAGGATAGACGACTCTTAGGTTAAATCCTTAAGAGTAAAGAAGATAATGGGGATGGGTAATGGGGTTAATTGTTTGATGATTAAACATAACAATTATATTATTGTGGGTTGAAAACCCTATGTACTCACCAGGTTTCCCAACCTGACCCACTCAGTTTATGTGTATCACAGGTGTTGATATGAAGTCACTTTACACTGAGAGATTTAAAGAGATGTAGATCACTAGTGTAAATAAATGTAAGTTCTGTTTATGCTTATGTTTCTGTATTAACGATGACATCCCAAACATTTTAAGATGAATAAAAATACGTTTCTTCGAAAATGTTTTAATAACGTATTTATCGTGTTTTTCTGGGAACAAATTCCGCAACCTTTTTATAAAATGAAGTACTCTGATTTTTATAAATCATAAACAAAAATCGGTCTTTTCTGACCGTGATTTTAGGGATGCCACATTATCTTAAAACATAATTCCTTTTATTCAAAAACATACGATCACAAAAGAAGAAAATTATTATATTTATTCAAGTATGAGGGTGTCTATTATTTAGCAAAATACTTATTATTTTGCAAAATATAGTAATTTTAAATGACAAATGAATGGTTATTGCTATTATAGTCTTTACTGTTTTTTAAAGACCACCTATTTTGTGAAATGTGAAGGAATAATGGCTCACTGGGTAAGATGGTTAATATTTATATATATATATATATATATATATATATATATATATATATATATATATATATATATATATATATATATATATATATATATATATATATATATATATATATATATATATATAATTTTGTTACACTGTGAGACCAAATCTAAAAATAATTTTAAAATGCAAAATAAATGGAAAAATAAAAAATTCTTTTTTTTAAATATTATTTTCGGAACTTGAATTAATTAAAAAAAAATAAAAACATAAAAAAACCCCGTTTTTTTATTTTTGAAAAATACGTGAAATATTCTAAATACATATTACACTGACATATTCTAAAAAATAATTTTAAAATGAAAAATCAATGGAAAAATATAAAAATTCTTTTTTAAAATATTATTTTCGGAACTTGAATTAAATAAAAAAAAAATCCTATTTTTTTTTTTTGAAAAATACGTGAAATATTCTAAATAGAATATTACACTGTACATATTCTAAAAATAATTTTAAAATGCAAAATAAATGGAAAAATCAAAAAATTCTTTTTTTAAATATTATTTTCGGAACTTGAATTAACTAAAAAAAATTAAAAAATAAAAATAAAAAAAAAATAAAAAATGCATCTCACGGTCTTACAAAATTAGGCCGTTTCACATGAACCTAACCATATATATATATATATATATATATATATATATATATATATATATATATATATATATATACGAATAAAAAACTAGTTGTTTTGCTATGTGTCATCATATTAGATATTTTAATTAATATGTTGCCACTTGTCAATCTATTAGTTTTTCATTTTAAATTTATTAAACCTCCTCATTAATGTGATTCTATTTTAAATTTTAAATTTTAAATTATTGTTTTCATTAATTGACAAATAAAAAATATCTAATATATATTAAAAATTAATTTTATATATTTATTTGAATCAATGATTATAATTTCACATAACTAATAAAAATATCTCTTAAATTAATAATTTATTTAAAATAACTTATTAATAATTTTAAGTTTTTACTATAAAAGTATGATTAATTTTATAACCGTGGTTCCCACGGGTTATAAACTAGTATATATATATATATACATATATATATATATATATATATATATATATATATATATATATATATATATATACCACCTATTTTTTGAAATGTGAAGGGATACTGGTATATTTTGTGAAATGTGAAGGGATATTGTATTTTAAAGAACCACCTATTTTGTTGGATGTAAACCATTATTATTTTAAAGATATAGATTTTTGGATCAATTTGTATAAAATACTTAAATTGTTAATTTGAATATTACATTATAGGATCAACTTAAATATAAATTTTAGTTTAACTTGAACAACTTTTTTTTTTAAATAATTAAAAGTGATTAATTGTAGTGTTTTTCTTATAATGATTATAAGTTGGTTAATAAGGTTAAATAAATATCAAACCTAAAGTGTAAACATAATGTACTAAATTTCAATTTTAAAATAATATATTTATTTCTACTTATAAAGTTATGTATTTAACTTTTAACATGTTATACTTATTTTATTAGATTTAATATGTTGTTATATGTAAACCATTATCAGTTTAAAGCTATAAATTTTGAACAGTTTTGACAATATACTTAAATTGCTATTTTAAATATAACATTACAACGTGAACTTAAATATAAATTTCAGTTCCACTTAAAAACCAAAGAATATTTTATAAATAGTTAAAAGTGATAAATTTTAGTAATAAATGCAAAAACTAAATTGTAATCTCAATTTAACCAAAATATTTCTTAAATATATTTTTATAATCGTTAAAAGTTTTCAAATAAGTAGCTTAAAATTATTTACAATAAAAATAGTTAAAAATAACTCTATATAAATGATTATATTGTTACATTTAAAATCAGAAAACAATATTTAATGTTTTAAATAATTATAATGATTAAAATTAACACATTAAACAAAATAATTTAAAAAATTAATTAACAATATTAACAACCATAAAAAAAACATTAAACCATATATTATATTTAATTTTATTTATTTATATCTCGTGTGTAGAAGTTATTCAAACGATTGAGATTATGCAGTTATAATATATATATATATATATATATATATATATATATATATATATAATATATATATATATATATATATATATATATATATATATATATAGGTTTAGGTTCTATGAAAAACAAAAAACCCTAAAAATCATAAAAATGCATAAAAAAATACTTAGAGATTACAAAACTTTTTTTTGAATTTTTTTATGAAAAAATCGCATGTTTTTAAATAAATTCGCTGATTTTTTTTGAACTTTTTTTTTAAATTGATTTTTTTAGCGAATTTATTAAAATACTTGCGTTTATTTTATAAAAAAATTCAAAAAAAAGTTTTATAATTTCTAAGTATTTTTTTTATGCATTTTAAGGATTTTTAGGGTTTTTTTTTTGTTTTCCAAATAACTAATTCTTATATAATATATATATATATATATATATATATATATATATATATATATATGTGTGTGTGTGTGTGTGTGTGTGCGTGTTTAAAAATGATCGTTTAACTTGTTTTAACTGTCATCAAAAGGTCTTTATGGCCGATTTTAATGGGTATAACTGGTGATCCCCCTAATTTATGATGCTTAATTTTTTCAAGATAAATAAGAAAATTATGTGGCATATTACGTGTTTTCTTCCCGTTATACCAACTCTAGGGCAGAAACGCTTCGTTCTTCATGAACCCTCCTATCACTCGTGAACCCTCCATCACTCACCTTCTTGATAGATCATAGACGTGAAGAGAGCAATGGCTGGAGGTGCAGAAGAACCCACATTCGTAGGAGATACATAAGAACTCACATTCATTATCGTTGATTTCCACTACAATTACACTTTCTCACCCAAATCGGTGGTCTATTTTGATCCCGATAAAGCATCTGTACGAGATGTTGGTTTCATTGGGTTGGAGTTCTTCGAGTTCATGGTTTTTGTTGAAAAGCTTACAAAAAAGAGACCTATGTTGTCTACTATTGTTCTCCTAAAGAAACTTTGAGCCAGGGGTTGAATATCATCCAAAACGATGGTGATTGTAAGGAGTTTAGCGAGTGTGCCATAGCCAATAACAAAAGGATTGAAGTGTATGTGGACCACTACAACAAACCTTTGTTTGATTGGATATAAATGGAAGAACCAGATGTTGAAACTGAAGATGACAACTGTGATAAAGATGTTGATTCAAAATTATCTGATGATACAAACCGTGAGCACGAAGAGGATGACGAGGTCTTGTCAACTAAAAGACCACTGGATGATCCCTTTTTGAGAGTACTATGTTCAGTTAACACAAATGTAGATTATACTAATGAAAAAGATGTTGGTTTCAATGAAATGATTGTTAATAAAGAAATGCCAAATTTATGTCATAAAAAACCAAACATGACATTTGTTAAGAAATACTATAGTTGGAGAAAAATGCTTATTGATATTTATAAATGCAGAGCTATAGCTGACTCTCTGATTGACCAATCAATGCCTACTCATTACTTCCTCTCATCACTAAACTTTAGTAATGAATATAAGAAATGGGAGAATCTTTACACCATGGATAAAAGAGAGAATCAAATTATAAACAATCATACATAGGTATATTTATTTATTTTATAGTAATTATCATCATATGCGAATCCAAGCGTTATGTTATCAATAAGCATTAATTTTAGGGATAATTTTATGAATGTAGCATGAAACAACCATTTTAAAACAATCATAGGAAACAAAATGTTTGAACCATGAAAAATCACAATGTGAAAAAACCGGGGTGAAAAATTAAAAGAAGTAATTGTTCATGTAAATGCAAATTGGAACACCTATTCAATTCCCCACTAAAAGATAACTAAGTTATTTTTCTCTAATTTTACCTTCAACAATTGTTTTCATGACCATCTGGAGATATTTTTGGAGTTTTTGACGATGATAAGTGATCATTCGACTCTGAATCAAAAAACTTCTTCCAGACTTCACTTTAAGATTAAACCCTTCATCAGACTTGTTGTCTCGTTTTTATCGAGAGTGGAAGGAGTTATGTTATCGTCCGTTCCAGAAATTGCATCCTAAAAAAATATAATCGTATAATATAATTATTGCTAAAATGAAGTAGTTTATTAGAGAATCTCTGAAAATTTTAAAATGTATTTAACCTTTAAATTTCTGATCTCTTGAGATTGCAAATCGGCTGAACCAAAATCTAATGACTATGAGTTAGAAGGTTGTATAGTACTAAAAATTAACAATAAAATAATGTACTAAAAAGTATAAAATATATATAAATAAAAAACAAACAAAAATAAGTAATATAATAACATGTGAATCATTCAACTTATTTTCATGTTTTTCTATTAAACCCGCATCATCACTGATTCTAGCAATACCATACTGATTGTTTTTTGGACACGTTGAATTTTGTAACAGAAATTTTAAAGGTCAATTTCAAACATTTCAATGCATTTATTTCCCCTGGATACATATCAAGATTGTCTCCACGCTCCAATTAAAAATAATAATAAAATATTTTGATTAAAGTGATTGTATATAAGATTTTTTTGTTTTAATTATCATTAAATAAGGACAAAACCTCGATCATTTTTTTAACCAAATCTTTTGCTGATTGCTTCAACAAATGCTTTCCATCTCTCTTAAACATGGTTAATGTTAGAGTTCCATTAATATCTTGCACACGTATAGGAATCATAAAGCTATAAAAAAATTAAAATCGAAAACAATTTTAATTTTGTGATAAACATGGATTATTAGATAGTTAATTATGATTCAATTGTAATGTAACAACCTTGGAACAACCATTGTGGTAGTTTTTGTGCAATTTTCATTACGAGATACATAAGAATTGGTTCGATGAGCATCACTTTCATCTGATGGAACTCCTTTCCCAAAACAGTTGGTACATGCTTGATAATACCATTTTTTATTCTGTAAAATTCATTTTATAGTGCCCAAGATAACGAAATTAAATTTATACAAATAAAAGGTATGTACTTTAAATTAACATACATAACACAAACATAAAAAATCACAAACACAAAATCAAAATATTTAAAGCAATAAATTAATTGAAACAAACAATAAGACATCAAATACCTCACCGGGTTCCCAAACCTCAGTGATAGCATTCAACTTATTTTTTACCGTGAAATCATCATATTCAGAAAGTTGATTGGATGGAATAGCTGAAGATGTATATGTAGATGAATCTGGACCATCATCTCCATCCAAACTGTTATGTATACAAAAAAAAATTAGTCATGTAACGTATAATTGTACAATAAACACAATAAAACATAAATTACCTTTTGTTGAAATAAATAATTTCATCTATGTCAGACTTAATGAACAACTTGAAAGAGGTAAAGTATGTGTTTACACTTGGACGATCTATAAAGAAAATATAAAAAGATTATTGTAATGATAATAACAAAAATATTAATAACATTAACAACATAATCAATATACCTCTAAAAACATTAATCTGATCAAATTAAAGAATAAGAATGATACGACAGTTACGTGGATTGTTATGTATATACTCTTGCATCTTGTATGCATAATCACCCCACAAATTGACATGAAGTTGCAAGCCTCTGAAAAGTAAATTATTTATCAAAAAATTGATATATTAACATAATATATTTTAAAATTTAAAAATTTAAAGATGTAAAAATATAAGAAAACCAACTTTGCATCTTGGATGTTGATGTTCAGCTTGTGTTTTGATTTATATGGATGATCTCGTTGCATCTCAGCAACTGCGACAACCAAACTTATAACATCTATAAAACAAAAAAAGAAAAATGAAAGTTATGTTGGGAATTGGAAAACATAATATTATATTTAAACATATGATGATATGTACTAACCAACAGATGTATCTTGAGGATGAGCGAATGATAACACATTTTGATAATCAACAAATGAAAACCCAAACTCAGATCCAGAAAAATCGTTACACTCTGTAACAACGGTTTCTTGGACGAATGTGAGTTTCTGATCCTGAGGAGTTAACTTAGAACTACCCGTCTCTAGTGTTGCAAAGTTTGGACCTTTGATGTAAAATGCCATCCCATCCTTGACTACATTTTTGAATCGATATATGTTTCTTTTGGAAACCGTTGCTTGGATTTTGTCCTCCTAAATATATTTAATACAATAACAAAAACTTATAAAGTAATTAAAAATAACAAAATATGTGTAACAGATATAAAAAATAATTTTTGTAAGATACATGTTCATCCATTAAGATCAATTCAATTGACCATATTTCATTTTTTTTTGTAGAAATACATTTGATGCCAAAGGTTTATGATACAAAACTTGAAAGTCAAGTCATCCCTAGTTACATCCACATCAACTATCAATGTAAGATTTGGTGCTACCATTTATCTACAAAAATAGTAGAAGAAAGAAAAATTCATAAAATAGTTGAGTTTCATACCATATATACTAAATCCTAAAGTTTTTTGTTATAAAAATGTAAGAATAGAAAAGTATTATGATACAATATGCTAATAAGACAATAAATATTTTACGTTGCTCTTTTTTCATATGAGTAAAAAAATGAAAAAACAAAAATATCTGTTATAAAATTCACATAATTGAAACTTATGATGCTATAAATGAAAAAAAAAAAAAAACTTGTATAATGCTATTACATGCCAAGTTCATTGTTGTAATGGTTATTAACTGGAATAAGTAAAATTTTGGCCGAAAAATATAGCATAAAAAGGTCCTTGTAGCAGAAATATTGTAAGAATCGGATTGTAGAAGAAGGGAAGAGGAAGGAAATAAAATAAAAAAACAGATCGTGATTTACATTGCAAAGTATAGTTGAGTTTCATACCATATATACTAAAATGTAAATAAAAAACTACCATTATTTCTTTACAACATAAAATGACAATTATGACATTTTATATATATGAATGGACCAAATTGCCCTTTGAGTAAATTAAATGAAAAATGCATAAATATGTTGTAATGGTTATTAACCGGAAAAAGTAAACTTTTGACTAAAACATATAGCACAAAATGGTCCCAGAAATATTGTAATAATCGGATTGTAAAAGAAGGAGAATAAGAAAGAAATAATAAAAAAAAACATAATGAAAACTGTTAACCGATGATGCTTAAATTTGTTCATCATTTTTTCTTTTGTTTTCGATATAGAATATCGACAAAGTATAAAAAGTCGTGGGTTCTATTCATACATGTAAGTCTCTTTGGGAGAATAACATAAACAAAATCAAACAGATAAAGCATGAATATTAGCATGAATATTAAGATGATGATACACTAACCTGATGATTTTGGTATTCTGTGAATGAAAGGTTGTGGAATAAATTTTAAGGTATTCTGTGGAAAGGCTTTTATAGCTGTAATTAGAAAATAAAAAATAAGGAATTTCGAATATTTGGAATACTTGGAATACGAAATTTGGAATTTGGAATTGGAATATTGGAATACGAAAATAGACTAAGAAATGAGAATAAGAAATAAGAAATTGATGATATTGATGATATTTGATGATATAAATGTATAACATTTAGCTTATAAATTAGGAATCAATATCAAAATTTCATTTATATTGATTGATTATATACAGAGCAATAATTTGAATGGATTTGAATTAAGCTAATTTGGATGTTTAGGATATTTTGGATATAAGTAAGATAAGATAACGTTTTCTGCATATTTAATTTCTACATATTTTATGCATATTAAGTCAACTGATTATGCTGATATGTAAGAGTTGAATATGAATGAATGCTGTGATTATATGGGTGGGAAAAGAAGACTAGAGATTCACAGAGAAATGACACGTGGCAGGATATAGTGTTAATAAAATGACATGCGACATTTAGGAGAGTATTTTATTATGCAAATAAATTATATTATTATTGGTTGAAAACCCTATGTACTCACTAGTTTTCTAACTCAACTTCTTTGTATCACAGGTAGCAATACAAATGTACATGCACAATGAGAGATTTAAGGAGATATATATTGTTAGTATATTGAGACATCATAAGTATCCGTTTATGCTTATGTTTTATATTAGTTATGATATCCCGAGTTTTAAAAATATAAACAAAACACATTTCTTTAAAAATGCTTTGATAGTATTATTATCATGTTTTTGGGATAAATTCCTCATAACTAATCTTTTTAAAAGAATACTATGATTTAATAATCATAAAAAATCGTTTTTTTCTGGCTATAAAAATGAGGATGTCACACTGTTAAGGTGAGATGTTAAGAGTACATGTCCTTATATGTGTATATTTTGTTTTTGTTTTTGTTATTTATTTATTTATTTATTTGATTTATATAACTTTTCTTATGTGCTAAGTGCTTACTACATGTATTATATATGCATTCCATGAAACATATTTGGGAAAGTATGTTACTCCTTTGTGTAACTTTGTTTTATTGTAATACTTTTTGGCATCCTTCATTTGTATGCATTTAGGATACAAGTCTATGTGTGCCACTCATGATATCCATGCAAGATTTGGACAATTTGCAATGGGTAGATTTATCAATGAGTTTATGTATGCCATTCATGATATCCATGTAAGATTTGGACAACTTGGAATGAATATATTTATCAATAATACTAATTATGCACAAGTGAGGCTGACCACCCCTTTTTATGAATTTGGTGGTGGTTCAGAAGATGGTTTGATAACCTATAAAGTACATTAACTTGAATTTAAACCACCATTTTGATTTTGGACTCTTGAGATGGACTTGAGATATGAGATAAATGCATGTTGCATTATTAATATTAATGTTTTACTGTGTTATTGGATTTCTTTAGATCATATTTAACTAACCACCGTTATTATCTTTTGAATTTCAACTTGATTTTAAATGTATATGTTATAAACCTTTAACTTTAACTTGTGGGTTAAAATATCTTTTGACTTTGATTTTGACTTTGGGGTCTTAGAATCTTTTGGTTGATGATATCAAATAATATGATTTTAATGTAAATATATTTGATAATATGATTTAAAATAATTATAAATTTATATATTTGGTATAAAAATATTATATTACACTTAATATCTTATTATTTTCACTATAGACTTATAGATTAATAATTAACAATTCAAGTTAAGAGAGCATTTGAGATTTCATTTTGAAGTTAAAAAGACTTTTGCTAAAAAAAGATTTATTAACTTATGAAAGTGGGAAAATGAGTTTTTTTATAAAAAAATATTTGGATTAGTTTTTTAGTGGCAAAAGTAAATAAATTAAAAAATGAGTTTTTTGTTTGTTTTTTTTTATATTATTATGTTTGTTTGTTTTTTTAGTGGCAAAAGTATATATATATATATATATATATATATATATATATATATATATATATATATATATATATATATATATATATATATAACATCCGGAATCCCAGGTATATTATTCTAATATTTTATTTTTGGAATTTGTGAAGGAACTCGGCGAGTTGAGGCTTAGACTCGCCGAGTAGGGTCGCGGATTATCATCCGAGTTCGCGTTGGACTCGGCGAGTCCACGCTGTTTAATGAAACCCTAATTCTCCGAGGTTGGAGCCTATTTAAGGGCACTCTTAGCCTTCCATTGCGGCTACCACTCCCTTGAGAGCACCCTAAGTGAGTTAGATCGTTTGGGAGGAAGGAGAAGCCATATTTGATCTTTCTATCTTTGGTTTAGCAAGAAGAAGGTGATCAAGAGCAAGATGAGACTGAAGGAGGTGTGATTCTAGTGGTTTCAGAGTCCAGAGACTTCAACTTGAGGTATTTATTCGGACCTTCTTCAGTTTTGGTATTGATTCTTAGAGTTAGGGTTTTCTAACCTCTTTTGAGGATGATTATGTGGAGCAATTGGTCCCTTATCGAGTTTATGCTTTGGATCTGGACTCAAAGAGGTCCAGAGACCTTAACCCTCGGAGCTTTATGAGTTATCTTGGGAGTTATGAGCTTAGGATGCCATTTTTAGGGCTAAATCACCAAATGATACCATCTAGATGATATATGAGTATCAAGGTCTGGACTTTACGTGATTATTATGCTTGGGAAGGACAAATCTATGGATTGGAGGAACATATCTGACCTCAGGAGGTCAATGGAGTTTGTGCATGGCATGTACTCGCTGAGTTGTTCTTGAGACTCGACGAGTTGAGTCGGGGTAGCCCCGCGATTCTTACCTGAGGACTCGTCGAGTAAAGGGAGGGAATCGACATGTTAAATGGGACTAAAGAGTTAAGTGGACACAGGTGGACTCGCCGAGTTGCCCAAGTGCACTCATCGAGTCGGGTCAAAGTTTAACCGTTGACTTTGGTTGACTTTTAGGGTTTGGTCAACAATGAGGGCCTTTGAGCCAAACGAGGGGTAAAATGGTCTTTTACCCTTCTGAGGGTGCTTAGAGAGAGTAGAGTCTAATTCTGAGAGTTATATTTATGAGAGTGCTTAGAGAGAGTAGAGTCTAATGCTCTCTTAACTTGAATTGTTTTAAATTTTACGGTGTTACAAAATATATATATATATATATATATATATATATATATATATATATATATATATATATATATATATATATATATATAAAAGGACTTCTAAAATAATTTTCTTTATTTTAAAAGTCCTTATTAAATATCAAAACATTTTTTTAAAGCTTTATTCTTACAAAGTCAAATTTTAGAAGAACACCAAACACCACCTTAGGCCTGTCGAAAAAATTGATACCCAAAAACCTTATCTGACCCGTTCTGAGTGTGGATATTTTGGGTTTGGGTAAATCAGGTTTAGATTTAAAAATTATGGGTATTCGTTTACCTGATATTACATTAGGTCAGGTATAGGGTATGTGTATACCTGAATCCCCGTATTGTTTTTTTGAAATAATATTATAATCTATATTTTGTACCATTCGTGTGTTTTTCTTTCTCGGCATGAGTAAAGATTACATTTTGAAAAAAAGGAACGACTCTTCAATTTCCTTCTTCTGATCAAACCAAACAAACTCTGATCACAATATCTGATTAATCATTATAGAGGTCAGTATATATCGACGGAAGG